TGAAGGGTCAGAGATCAGTCTTTAAAATCTTTGCATCTCATGGAAGATCTTCGAGACCTCAGAAATGGGCTTGTTGAGTCCCGGCAGTGTATCTCTTGTGTCTTGTTCGTGACATGCTTCCTGCTATAGAAATAGCTCAAAGGACTGTACATATTTACAAGAATCTTTATATTCGTAACAAAAGGGAATTGAATTGGTTTCTACTTTTTTATTGTAAACTGTGTGTTTTTCAACACTAGCTTTTTGTTTTACCGGTGGTTGTGGACAGCCATCTTCAGACTGGAGGGGCCTCAGCTTAGTCCTCCTCGCTCCCATGAAGAACTATTGTAACATTAACTTGCAATTGAAGCTTGTTAGCATAAATGAGGTTTTAGGTCTCTAAAAGTACAGGATTTTTCTGCATTACCTTTTTATTATGGACAAGGGAGGGAACCAGAGGGACAGTTCAAAGCTCCACCTGGAACGTGTTGAACTTTGTTGTTGAACGATAACCAAATAAAACAAATAACTATCTCGACTGGCATGGTGAAATGACCGCTTCCTTCTCCGCAGTGACACTGCCCTCGTCCCGCTGCCCCAGCGCCAGAGGCTGTGTAATCTATAGGCGTCAGCGCTTACCAAAGAGCTCACCCGATGGTAGTTAGCATTGAGTAGTTGTAATTCCCTGACCAAGTAGCGTTAAGTGGCTTCACAAACACAAAGCATGTTCATAGGAACTCAGAACAAGGTGCATTTGACCACGTAGTTCACTAGAGCAGCAGTCGGCTGCGGACACCTACAGCTAAACCCTGCCCTCGCCCACTGAACTCCTGATAGGGGTAGAGTTAAGAACCGTGTGAGTATCTGGGACAACAATCCCGCCCTCCTCAATGACCCACGCACCTTGAGCTGGAACAAACCATCTTACTGAACCATAGTGTGATCTAAAGACAGGTTTGGGATTTATCCCAGCAGTGTACTGGTAGCAAAGCGGACGGAGACAGCTCCTCATCCCACCGCTGTGATTCGCTGGTGCTTTAAGGCCTAAGAGCTGCAACTTCAAAACCATTCACAAATCAAGTCAGATTGAGTACAACCTGCAGTTACTGTACATCTGAACTTACACCTGCTGGGAAAACTCGCTAGATCAGACTTCAATGTAAATACATCTATTTTTAACTGAACCAGTTTTTACAGGGTCTGAAGTATTCTTTCACAGGAAGAGGTTTTTAATATTCACACTGCTGCCTCCAGTAACTTCATTTGTCCTCCTACCATTCGTGGCTTTGGCTCTGTGCACACAACCACCCCTTGCCCCAGGGAAGGGCTGTTGGAGGGCCTGGGGGCGGGTTACTAACACCACCTCTTACATTCTGGTCTACATGACATCCTTCATAACAATGCTCTACATAAAACCCAAGCTGCTTGAGTTATCTATTGTGCCTACTATCTGATGTATACGATGAAATGCTGACTTGTTCAATGTTCCTTTATTTTACTGTGCACAAAGAATACTTATTTAAAGCTCATTGTTGCAGTCCTATGATGCATGATCCGAATTGTAACAACTAAAATAATCCAGAAACTGGTGGAGTAAAACCAAATCATTTATTGAGCCTTTTGATTACCAAGAACCCTGCACAAATCCCTGTCAGCCTGACCACTGCACCTCAGGGGGCCGGGGCGGGCAGGGAGCTCCCAAATTGCTTTAATTGTTCCCAAAGCAATTAAAGTCTCTGCATCTACCTTAAAACTGTGCTCTCCTAGCAACAGCCAGGAATAACCTCAACACCACACACTGCGGGCTGAGGGCGGGGAATGGAAGCATCCAGCTCCTGATCCAGCTTTTGCCTTCGGAGGGATTCGATTCATCCCTGTTCAGCGAGGACACACAATGTGATTGATCTGATGCAGAAAACAACCCAGCAAATAAATAAGACAAGACATTCCCTCCCCACCCATCCCTCCCAAACCAACCCCACAGTGAAAACCAGATTCCCCCCCCAGCCATGGGCCAAGGGGGCTCTGCCATACCTGGAGGAGGGGGTGGCTCCTGGAAAGGTCAGTTGAGGCCTCAGGGATCAGCCTGTGGGCAGCTGCTCTCCCTCATCCCAACAAGCAGGGATTGGTAGTGGATCACGAGGCCTCAAACGCTGCGCGGGGCCCAGGCCCTCACCCTGGTTCCTGGGCGCAGCCTTTGGGGTGCCAGAGCGTGGTCCAAGCGCTCAGCACTGAGCCCGGCTCCAGGCTGCACAGTGAATAAACGGCAAATGCTGGCTATAAAGTAATCGGTTGTGTCCATGTTCCACCATGCCAGGGCAGTGAGCCCTGCATATATGGGACTGGGAACAAACCCACAAAGCTCAGCAAGAATTAATGAGGCCGAGTCCATAAATACCGCTCCATCTCGCATACTGCCCCTTCATTTCTCAAAGTTCCAGCTTCTTCAGTCTTTGACACATGGAATACCTGGTTTGCAACTAAACCAAACCACCACAGCCAAAGAAACCAACCAGCCTCGTTAGGGTGCCTCTGAGCTCCTCTTTTCTCCTAGTGAAAAGACTAATTCTAGGTCATTCCAGTAAGAAACCTGATGTGCCATTTCCCTGCTGGCACTAAAAGCACCCAGCACTCACCCCACCACCCGTGTGCAATATACCATCCATCTACATTGCTTTGGACACAGCTGAGACAGATTCCTTCCAACACCTGCCTCTCCTCATCCCACCCCACACACCCTCACCCTTGCTTCCACAGCATTTAACCTGTGCTTGGCCCCATGTGGAGCTCTGGGCCCACAATGTCTGCCCAAGCACACCCAGCCTTGGCTGTGGCAGCAGGCACGAGGGTTCACTTGCTGCCACTCTCATGGTCAGCTCGGTGACAGCCCAGCACCACTTTTACTATGCCAACAGCAAGGCCTATCACAGAAGCCCCCCCCTCATGCTGAGCTACAAGACAAGGGGCACCAGCACACCTTTGCTGATGGCACTGCGGAAGGAGAGGCCAGTATTTAACAACAGCATCACCAGGCAGGCAACGACTGTGCTCACACAGCATCCCCCTCTGCATTCACCCCTCTCGGTGTTCCCATTTCAGCACGAGGCACTCCCACCATTACATTCGTTAACTGGAGCTGCTCAAACCTGCTCTCCCTGATGCAGCTTCCTCTACTGCCCTGACACAACCAGCTCAAGCGCAAAGGAACCTCAAGTGCCTCCTGCACAAGGTGCTGCTGGCAAATGACAGCCCTGACCAGGCAGCCCCAGCCTCACCGGTGCAAACAAACACTACAGCAGCACCACAGCCCACAGCCAGCATCCAACCTACACCTGGCAATAAAAGGCCTGCGTGAAGAGTGGATGGAACAAAGAGAAACTGCCAGGAGGCTGCAGGCCAACTCTGATGGCTGAAGCTTTGCTCTTCCTGTCAACTTTACCTCCCCCTTCTCCTTTACTAATTAACTGCAAACTGACAAAGTGCTTTAAGCTGCATCTAGGAATGAGAAGCTTGCACAATCCACCAAGGCACAGGACTGCAAGCACAGGTCCTAAAGAAACAACAGCTCACGGAAGCTGGGATAATAACCAAGCAAGTCACCCACTTTCCTTGGAAATGTTTTATTTGTTTCTAAAGAGGCTGAAAACAGAAGCGATTCCGTGGTCCAGAATACCAACACTACCCACAGCACAGAATGGAGACAGCTTTCAGAGAAAACCATTGCACCAAGACCCAGATCTACTCGGCTCCTGGAGCTACTGCAGCAGGGGGGCAAAGCAGCCCTGCACCATGGCTGGTTCTGCAGAACACTGGCGGCTGCAGCCTCTGTCCCTGCTCAGACTCCTGACTCGTCTGTGCAATGGGCTCTGCCCACCAAGGGACGGGACGGGGCTGGTCAGGGTTGGCACAGTCACTGGCACAGTCACTGGCACCCTCAGGCACCAAAACCAAAGAGAGGGAAGGACGAGGCAGGTCGCTGCTGGAGCGGGCTGCTCCAGGGCAGGCCCGAGGCACACCGGTGTGCAGTTTTGCATTGGTGTTGCATGTGTTTTGGGATAAAGCAGGCTGCCGGTACCCAGTACAGGCAGCCCGGTGTCACTAGCATCATTTAGAAAACAGAAACAGGATTAAAAGCTGCAGGGCTGTGGAAGCAGCAGGGGGGTTACACCTGTGGTCGTGCTGCAACCTGGAGCAGGGGCCCTGCTTCCCCCTGGGCACAGATGGGCACGGTGCTGCTGTACCCAGCACTGCAACTGCTTACACTGAGGGCCAAGCTTGGGCAGTGGGCACAGGTGACTCTTGCAGTCACCTTCAGGCTCTTTCTGAAGAGCTAATCCCTAAACTGAACACACTGATTTCCTCACAGCTTAAGGAAGTCCTCACTAGTGACAGCAAGGGAAACTGGTTTCAAAAAGCAGATTACTGCAATTACAAACACATTTATGATTTACAGAAAAATCCAGCCATTAAAAACAACTGTCTTTACCAGAAATTCCACAGGGGAAAAGCTGTACTTCAGTTCTCATGAAGAGAAAAACTACAGAGCTCAGAAACAGTGCTGCCCGGTCTACCATGCAGCAAAACTGAGCATGTAGGTGATTGTGTCACTGATTGTGCCTAGAAAAGGCTGCTACAAAAGGATCATCAATATTCCCACTTACTTCAGCCACGCAAGCTTGGAACTCGCTGCCCAAGTTATTGCATGTTTGATGAGTTATGGAAGCAGCAATGGGCTTGCTTTTGCTGAGTGCTGAGCTCAAATGAGATTCCACAAGAATCCCCATTTCCAGGCTTTGGGCTGGCTTGTTTGTTACCGTTCGTTACAGTCTGCCTGCCTCCTACAGGTCTTTGATCTGTTGCTGCCCTCACATTTTTCAGCCTAATTAAACTGGTGGTTTTTAACTGAGCTGACAAGGGGCGCTGACGCCCTTTGCCATCTGTCTAGTTGCCATGAAGCTGCCATCTCTGAGAACTTCCAAGGCACGACTGGGAAAATACAGGAGAACTTGGAAGTCTCAGAAACCAGATGAAATCAGAGTTCATTTGCTACAGCACAGAGCAGGAGTACATTTGGTTAAGAGAAGAATTGTTTTGCTGAGACCACACTGGCCCAGAGCAATTGGTCACAAGCTACAGCGATGTTCATATTGGCTTGTACAGCAAAGTGGTGACGTATTTCTTCTTGTACCGATGTGTAGCACTAAGCACCATCACTCCATCCTACAGGAGATGGAAAACAAGTGAGCACATCACATGGGTATCTGAAAACTGCATGTGCAAAGAACACGGCCTGGCCTCTCACCTTGATAGAAAGTGCGTAGAGGTGGTTCAACATGACGTGGTTGGGTTCAGGGAGCAGAGCAGGATCACACTGGGAAAGGGGGAAATGAGTGTGAAAAGAACAGAACTCACAGTTTACTCATCACAGCTGATGGGCGCCAAACACCGTCTGCAGCTAGCCATACCCTCACATACACCACCCTGCTCCTTGCACTGAATCCATCAGCAAATGCAAAGTGCCAGAACCACCCAAGACCCCTCTCCAGGGTGAAATCCTCTGCACCTCACTGCCACCGTGCAACACACCTCAATTATTCCTTATGTGCTTCTGACACTTTAATAGTGCTGCAGGGGGAAGATGAAGGTTTCTGGGAGTAAAATAGCAACTGAATTTTCCTCTCAGTTTTGAGGAGAGTCAAGTAGAAAACTAGATTTACTTCAGATGAATCCACCTGGACATACATAGTCCAGAACTCACCAATGTGGCAACTATTCTAAGGGTTTTCCTAAACTGTCCCCTGACTGCACCCAGGGTTTATCCCCATCTGTTCACACCCTCAAGGCCATTATTCATCAAACAAATGTACTCACAGAAATGCCTGTGTCCTTATTCAGGATGACCTGCAGCAGGTGGGGGGGAAGAATAGGTGGTGATTTAAAGCGCTCCTCTGCCTTACAAACATAGGGCTCCTGGTGATATGGTCCTGGGGGTGAACTTGACAACTCTGCCAAAGAGATGTTACATATTTACCCTTAAATAGTCTGTGAGAGTATCTGCACTTCATAGGTATTTTTTATCAGTACTTCAAATTGATTTTCACATCTGGGAACACGCAGACAGAAGAAATTGATGGCATGTAAGTACAAGAACTACAGCACTGATGCAGTCACTGCCCACTGGACCACTTCAGAGGTCCAAAGTCTGTCTGACTTGAAACTAGCTGAGAAGGTTTGGGAGGCTGCGTTTGGAGGGACCTACTGCACTCCAGAAGTGCACTGTCATCTCTGCCCAGCACTTCTCCAGCAAACACTTACTATTAAAGTGCTGCTCTACAATGTTCCCTCCAAGGAAAGTACCAGAAACATGGTACACACCTGTAAAAGGCAAGTATTATTCCCATGCAGGGACAGAGTAACAGAAAGAGCTCTTCAGGGTCTGTATCAGTATAAGGGAAGGCTGTTACACCACACTGCAGGGAAGCATCTACTAGAATCTCCTCCTGGCTCCCTGCAGTGTCCAAGTCCTACAAAACACATTTTTTCTCCAAAAAGCCTTTGCCCAGGGCAAAGTTGTATAGAGCAAAAACCAACCAAATGCAACCTCTGCCTCAGAGTCAAAGGATGGGGCTTCTGAAGGAGCATCTAAGGTACTACTTCAATCATGTCTTCATCCCTGCAAAGGTCTACAAAGAGCAGGCAGCAAAGCTGATTTCAGAGATGACTCAAGCTAATTCTCTCTCTTCTGTTACACTGGCACATGAAACTTCAGACAAAAATAGCATTTTAAATTGTTTTAGGATATACATAATTTATACTAAACTGTGGAGCTACGACATATTTCTGACCCTCTGTTAGCACTGCAAAGATGCACCTAATGCCTATCTCTTAATGTGCAACTTCTGACCTTCCCAGTCCACCTCCTTAGCAGAGGAAGATGGAATTAGGAGCAGTGCAGATTGTCCACATTGGTTTGATGCTGTAAGGCAGAGACTGATCCACTGATTTCACATCACACAGGCAAACAAACAGCTACTAAAAACCCATGACTCCCTCCTAACCATACAGTACAGTGACCTGTGCTGCTCTGTTAGAGGCTTTTTCTTCTGTTCATCCCATGTTCTTCCTTTGTGCATCTGTGATTCCTGCACATGTCCACAGGGCCTGACAAACGTGGAGATTAGTCTATACTGCAGCTTTAACTGAGATAAATAGGGAGATGACATTTTTAACATCTCAGACAAGTGTGACAGAGAATTACCAGGAAGCTCATACCAGACATGTCTGAACATTTCTGGGAGTCCACCATCAAAGCATCGAATACTTCAAAGTCAGTTTTCTTCACCTGTATGACGTTGTTGATGGTACCCAGCTGGCTGGTTACTACTGGCTGGGAAGAGACAAGATACAGAAGTCAGGATAGAAAGGCTTGTGGGACTATTAGATTCCCAAAACTACAAAATCAGCATTACCAAGAATGAGATCTATTGCTTTTAAAATGTGCCAGTACCAGATACAAGAAGAGCTCAGCATTGCTCAGTTAATGTGAGGTAAAGAGCAAAGGCACATTTAGGACTGGGGACTGCATGTCAGTTGAACCTGTCAGGTCCACAGCACTTGATAAATTCTTGGGCTGTAGATAAGGCCTGGGCTAAAGTTAAACAGTGGCAACACAAGGAGGTAAGATTTACCTCTAGCTTCTACAGGGCTTTCAGAACATGGCAGACTATACCTGGTATTGCTGGTTTACTTCCAAAGCTAAGACAGAGGCTTCAAAGAGCTAAATTTACTACAAGGTAAATCCTGCAAGGTTCTGCAAGGTTTGCCAAGACAGCAAGACTACAGCTAGGAGCTGTGAATGGTTAGTTCAGAAGCAGTGAGGGACTGATGGGCAGGCGAGGGTTAAAGCTCATTCTATAGCAGAGGAGGAAGAAAAGACCTGGTAGATTTGGGCACAATTACTGAACTATGAGAAGATCTAGAGCAGCAATAGCAACATTCTGGCACAGAGAGCAGGTACATCATAGAGAGACTTGGGCTGTCAGCAATGCTACAGTGCATTAAAAGACAGTTTGGCAAAAGCTCACCATCTCTTATAAGCCAATCCCCAAGAGATCTTGTCACTCGTTTGTTACAACACCTCCTGTCCTTTGAGGCTGTCAGTCTGATGACCTCACCTAGGCTAGCATCAGAAATCTCTCTCTCACCAACTTCAACAGTCAGTTCCTGTTGTTAACCAAACCCTTCTCTCTGAAGTGGCCAGCTATTAGTAGAGAATCCATCAGTTTCTCATGTTCAGGTGCCTTTCTGAATAAACACAGTGAACCAAAGAAAACGCTACCTCCGAAGGATCGTGCGTCCACTGCCCATCCACAAAGAACTTGTATTGGTGCTCTCCTTCTGGCAGATCCAGGATTGCCACAAAGTTATTGTGACTGAAATTGAAGACAAACAATCAGCCCTGAAATGCTCTGAGAAGCACACCGATTACAAACCGTGCCAAACACTAACTGACAATACAAGCCTCCTCAACGTACAAAGACTTATGAGAATCCCTCATGCAATCTGAAGGTAAAGAATCGTATTAAGGTTAAAGTTAATGAAAATTTCCTCTATGACAGCAATCCCTACACATTCAAAATTCCTATCTGCATTCCTGACATCAATTAATTGAGCTTTTGTAAAGTCATCCTCACATCTTCGTGTCACTTGTCAGTACGTGAGACCTCATTTTATCTGCGAGACTCCTGTCGATGGAACAACACCAGCTTACTCAGATCTCCTTGCCTTTCAGTATTTGCCATCACAAACTGCATTTCAGAACTGCCTGTGAAGGCACATCAAGAATTACTTATCAAGTAAGTAAACAATGAGTAGAAGATGAAAGCACCTCAATACTTCTGAGTCACTTGGGGGCTGAATAGCTGCTGCTTGGTAATTTCAATACTCCAGTGCTGCGAACTTCCTGATTCTACTGAAGCCTTTACCAGCATCTCAAACCAGCAGAGAAACAGCTCATGCTTTGTGAACAGTTCAAACAGGCTACACAATGCCAGCATCTCTCTTTACTTCTTCTCAGGTGAGGGTGCAAGCACACCACCACAGAACTGGATTTGAAATTTCAGTCTGGAATAATGAACTCTTCTACTTGAGCCTATTTGATTCAGTAACATGATTTTATCCAACCTCTAAGGAGGTCCAGATATCTCCTTTCCCAGAACACCTCATCTGACAAGAGACAAACCTTTTGGAGTTTTTTGGTAAAGAGACATTTTTGTCCTTCTTCCAGATTCATTTCACTATTTCCTGCCTCCCAGCCTTCCTACTTCAAGCATGACAGTAATAGTGATGTTCCACAGGCCTGTTTTCCAGCTCCTCTCTTGGTAATTTCTTTCCCATTCTTCATACACAGAACAGTCCTCCCACACCATTCCATTAGGCCACTATGCTCCTCCCTCAAGTTTCTTAGGAAATTAAGACCTTTCTGCAGCAAGGACAATGCAGGCAGCCACTCATTGAGATGAGAAATGCCAGAAACCAATCTTTCGTGGATATGTCACCTTTGATAGACAAGAGGGCTCAGATCAACACTTAAGTTTGGCCTCTCTGCCATCTATTAAGCTTCAAATGTTTGGGAAAAAAACCAATATTGGCTTAAATGAACTACTCAAGTACAGAACTAAGGAGAGCTTCAGAGCTCTCCGGAAGGAAAAAGCAGTTGGTGCCTTAACACAGGTTTAGTCTCTCATTCATGTAATTTACCAGCAGGGGTCCAGGGCTGAGTTTTCCTGAGCAGCATTTGGCCCTCTTCAGCTGGGCAAAAGCAGCCAAATATGGCCAAAAAGTACATGTGCCATCAGAGAACTATGCTTTAATCCAACTATGCCTCCTATGCCTGAACTCTGAGCCCAGGCAGCAGACTGCACAACGAGGACTGTTTCAGATGATTTGTGCACAGTGCCCAGTGAACACATCACCCCTTCAAAACTGACACAGCCCAACTTTCATCCTGTGCCATCCAAAAATCAAAGTCAGATTCTCATCAAGGGCTTCAGGAGAGAAGCAGGAGAGTGGTAAATCCCAGCACAATACCAGTCTACAGGAGACCACCTTTCTCACTTCACTAAGCATTCCCAGTCCTTGTGTAATATCCCTAATAAAGCAGCAGCAGTTTATTACCTCCTTGTCAGAGGAATTTTACTCCAGTTGTTGAAGGACCCAGATAAATAAACTTCTTTCCCTCCTCCAGTCCAACGAAAGACTGTTGGTCGAGCTTGCGTGGGGGTTTTATCATTCACTTCCAGATCCTGTTGCCAAGCTAAGAATTCTTCTTTCTCCAATGGAGCCTAAAAGCACAATGTCTTCATCAAAAGGAATTCTTTCCTGGCAGACTTAGGCACTCTCTCAGGTACAAGTCTACAGGCATTTTTTGGCAGATGGAGATTAGAAACTGCGCATTTGTAGATGCTGTTCACAAGTTCATTTGCACTTTAAAGCCTTCAAATTTGCAGATGTGGAAGGCAAAATAATCCCCCTCCCTCCAGCTAAATTAGGTTAAAAAGAAATTACTTGAGCTCACAGAAGTTTTCAAAACACACAGATACAAGAACAGGGAGAAAAATAATGAAGAAGACCCTCAAGAAGCATTTAGGTTATACAAATATGGTAGACAGAAAATTTGTAGTTGGCAGATTATGAGATGTCGATAGGAAACAGCTCTGTCCAACAGTCAAAATCTAAGTGTAATTTTCTGTTAGATATTATTATGAAACGTGATACACAGCAACACATCTAATGCTGAGAAAAAAAAAACAAACATTTAACAGAGCTTTTAATATGGAAAATAATAGACAGGTAAAATATCACTGGTAACTGCAAGAGCGTTAAAGATCCAAAGGAAGCTGGAGCACTGTACTTAGAGCTTTGAAGCAGCTACACTTTAGTTTTTCTACAAACAATTCTTGCTGGAACCCATAACATTACACTCATTATATCTGCCTGAACATCAATGCACCACCTCTCTTTGGCTGGGACGCAAGGGAGATAGCTTTGTGTGTAAACTCAATGCCAGAACCGCTGAGAGTTGCAAATGGCACCCCAGCATGGTAATGTTAGAAGACAAGAACAAACCAGCAATACCTTCATTTCCTCTGAATGGAACAAGTCTGCATCTTCAGGACTATCCATTAAGATTTTGGGTCTGTCACCCTCTTTTGTACTGATGGCTCCTCCTGAGCTGTCCCCTCGGGATGCCTTATGCCCATGTCGCTCCAGTCCAGCTCGCTCACTGCTTGTGTTCCCCATTGTGAAAGACCTAAAAAAGGATGAAAAGCCAGATTAGCACATATGCTTTTGAAGCTAGAGCACCTGTGTGCAGGAAAGCAGGCTCACCAGCACACCTGGGCTCTGTTTCTGAATTGAAGAGTCTAAGAAACTTGATTAACCCCAGACGCTGCGCCATAGGTCAATGTCCTAGCATCTCTGCAAGACTCAGCCACTCTGAAAGCTGACCAAGCAGCTATGTGTCACTGCAGCACGCTGTATTCTGTCTTCCCAAGCAATGTGGCCTTCTGAAAACCCATGCACATAGCACTCTACCACATCAGCTGAAACACCAGTAGAACTTTTTGCCACAATGCATCAAAACCAGCCTACTAGAAATGTGATTTCACTGGAAAACACTTATCTGAGGCTGGTAACCTGCTAAGGATCCCTACAGCCCGCGGCTCGGAAGCACAAACAGCACAGTCCTGCTGATGCTCCACTTCATCCAGCCTCCACTTTACTCCTGGAAGGGCAACGGCCAATGCTTCTTCCCACCCCATAGCCCGTGAGGCCACAGCCACCCACAGAGGGGCTGAGACTGGTTGTGCATGCCATGTCTTGTCTGAAAGACAACTTACAGGCAAGAGCAGTAACTCAGAGGTGGCCTAGGGGCTGTGGGGAACCACACCGCCAGAACCACTTCAGAGCCCCCAATAAGGTGCAAGTCAGGGTCTGGGATATTGCCCTGCTCACAGACACTGCCCAGCTTCCAGGTGTACAGCTCCCAGCACGGTCACAACCCAGAACCAGTCTCAGCGGGCATGGCCTGAGTAAATAAACAACTAACTGCCTCCGTATTTTAACCGGCACCCTGAAAACACGCCAATGCCAGCTGGCTGGGGGGGAACTGCAGCAGCTGGGAGCACCCGGTGCCTGCTCTGAGCACTGCCTCGAGGGTGCTACGAGAGGAACCCTGGGGAGGCCCGAGTGAGCTCTCAGCCCGCACCGCCGGTCAGTGCCCCGCCGAAGGCCCCGCAGCCCGCACGGAGCACTCGCAGCCGAGGGGCTCCGGGGCAGCAGCCCGGCTAGGCCTCGCCTCCCCCGGCCCCGCAGCGCCCCGGGGCTCCGGCACCCACCGCCCGCCTCCGGCCGCCGCTGTCCCTCACCGCCAACCTGCTTCTGCTTCCGTTTCCGCCGGCCCGCGCCCGCCTGCGGCCCGGGCGCAACCCGAGCCCGGCGCCGAGGTTCCGGGCGGCAGCGGGACCCCGCGCGGAGCGCTGAGCTGTGCCTCGGGGCGGGGGCAGGCGGGAGGGTGTGCGCTCCTTACCTGGCTTTCCTCCAGGTCACCGCCGCAAGGAGGGTTTGGACCTGCGGAACTGCAGAGGAGGGAGCGCCGGGACACTGGAGCTGGGAAACAAACGCATTTCACACACATTTCCTCTTTGGAAAGGGCAGCGAGAGCCAGCTCACGGCCGCTGACACTTTCAGGCTCTGAAACCACACACGCGGCTCTCCTGCCGTTGAAGCACAGTTGGGAATCTTAAGACCTTAATTGGTAAATGCTTCCCAAATTAACTTACACTCGTGTATTACTCCAACATAATTGTGTAAGCATTTCCAATTACACTCTCTCGTTTTGCCCTGTTGCTGTCTTTCCCCCTACCTTTCTAACAGGCACAGAGCTGTGAGTCCTGGTCAGCAGTTCTTTTCGCAAGGAAGTTGGTTTTATGTTAAACCTGCCAACAGACAGAAGGATTCCTACCGGATCGAAGTGTATCCTTCTGGCATGGTGTTATGGTGTGGGAACAATTCTGCTGGGATAGACAGATTCACTGTGCCTGGCTCCCGCACTGTGTTTTGAGGAACAGTTGCTCCAAGCTGTCTTTCATGGAAGGATGCCTCGGCACGGGACAGCCTGACACAGGCGAACGCGTGTGGGCCTCCAGCCCCTCCACAGGTCACCCTGCTCTAAAATGCAGCTGCTGGTCTGATCTTTCACACAGCTTAGCACTCCTAAAGCTTTTGTCTCCAAACCTGATTGTTTTGTTCTCCCCGGTTCTTTTTTTGGTCACTAATGATGCACACGCCTCTGCAGGGTGGGTTCGAGATCCACACAACCACGTCGTACCTATCACTTGCCCAGGAGGTCCCCTGTGATGATCTGCGCAAGGGCCAGCCAGGCTCATTTCAAGCAATGGCATCTTCACTTTGGGGACCACACTCATTTCTTTGCCATGGTTTTTGTTACTTGTAATAACCACAGAAAGGTAATAAACTGCAGGGTAAGGACTGCTAGTAGCTCACAGGGCGGTGGTGACTAGACTATGGCAGCTCCAAGCATTACTGAATATAAAGTTCTGGTGTTAAAATGTGATGGTCCCTCCCTACACGGTGATGAACCATCCATGCCAAAACCTTTGAGAGTTGTTGACCCATGGATGGGCAGAGGCAATGGACTTGGGCATCTCAGCCTCTTGGTGGTTGGGCTTCACTGTTACTGCCTTCTCTGTCTTTTCCCCATGACTGCTTCCCCTTCAAATCCAAAGGTGGATGTAGCACAGTCCTAGAGAAATCAGCCCAAAACTCTTTGGGAGGCAGCTGGTCCCAGTGGATTAGGAGGTCTGGATGACATTTACACCATGAACAATGAGCTTTACATGGCGGGTTTACCACTGCTGCTTACTAAATCACCACCCTGCCTCCTCACAGGCACTGCAGGATTGTTTTCTCCCATCAGTTTGTGTGGGAGCCCAATTCCCTTACAGCTGTTAATGCAGGAGATGTGGGAAGTGAAAGATGAGCTAGACATGCCACAGGGGCCTGGCAGAGCTCATCCACCTACTGATTTTCTGCAATCCTGAAGTTTAGCTCCTCCCTTTAACAGCATCTCTGAGTTTTTGCTTCCTTCCATGCTCTGCAACTTTCCCCTCTTCCACTCCATCCAGCACCAGCATCCACATTCCAAAGGAAGACTACAAAATACCTTTTCTGCTCATGCCCCTTCACATACCTGTCTTAACCTTCTTTTTCCTACTGCCAGATGAGGGTGTAACAGGTAGGGAGGTAGTTCACTTCTTCCATCAAGACTTCCAGAAATGTCATTCTCCCTAGTGAGAATGTCAGAGGTGTCACTTGCCATTGAAACAACATATCACAGCAACTCTCTCCTCTTCTTAAGTGCTATATCTCTCAGACAGGGAACACAGCGATAGGCCACTTAGGCTCAGCCCTTGCTAAACACTCCAGACTTTGGTACCAGAATAATTTATTGCCTAGTTGCTTAGCTGTGTACATTCCCTTACAATTCTGGGGGATGCCCGGGAATCATGACTGTGAGCATTTTAATTGAAGAGGAAAAGAATTAGATAGAAATCTCTATATTAATTCTGACATTAATTGTCTGCATCGCTTAATCACTTTGGCCTTTAGCTATTAGCTTTCCATCAGACAAAAGAAGCTGATATTAGGTTGGGTGAATACTGCAAAATCTTTTGAGTGCAAATTCAGGACCGCAGATTGTTTTGTTCTTATGTGTTTGCAACCCTGCCTGTGTTCACCACCCACATTGCCACTGAACAAATACTTACCTGAAGTAAACATTAAATTCAGACATCACAAAACCAAACAGGAAATTTTGGCATTAGCAATGACACCAAAAATTTCTTTCCTGTTAGGGTGCTGAGGCACTGGAATGTGTTGCCCAAGAAGGTTGTGAATGCTCCATCCCTGGCAGTGTTCAAAGCCAGGTTGGACGAGGCCTTGGGTGAGATGGTTTAGTGTGAGGTGTCCCTGCCCATGGCAGGGGGGCTGGAACTTGATGATCTTAAGCTCCCTTCCAACCCTAGCTATTCTATAAATGGGAGCGCCCCAGGATTTATGGCTGTCTGCTCAGGAAAAAGAAATCATGTGGTGAATCACAACAGTTTGAATTGCACGTGGCAGGCTTGAGGGTAAAAGGGTCAGGTGGAAAATGTAACTGAATGATTTTGAACAAGAAAGTCCCTTGAAAAGAAAGAGCACAGGCTACTTCCAGACCGTCCACAGCCCATAAACCAAGGTAAAAGTAATTGATTAAATGCTTTATCGGGTGTCATGAGTGTGCCACCTCATAGGGCAATGTGAGGTTTTAAAAGGAGATGCTTGTAGAAGAGCCACATGGTCTCTGTTATTAACCATGTCACTATCCACAAGCAAAGGTCAGCTCTTTTCTCCTTCACTTACATCCACCTTCCTTGATAAATATGGACTAGACCTGGCCTGACTGTTAAAACTCACACAGAACATCCTCTTCAGAAATTAATTTTAAGGCATTTTTGTTCTTGGCTCATAAGGTCGTGAGGATCAGCAGATGTCAGGGTTCTAACCACCATGACAGAGCACTTTTGCTGTTGTACAGGCTGGGAGTCAAGTGAAGTGACATCTTTACTACTGAGTTATTCTACCCCCTTGGAGATATCACTTACCGTCTTCTCTTCCCAGATGGCTCTTTTTTAAAGACAGTAAGGTCAAAATCTCGAGTCAGAAGAGACCTGTGTTAGGGCAATGTATGTCTTTGGTTAAGTGGGGTGAAGAATAGCTTTGCAAAACTTTCAAGCTCAAAGTGTTCAAGCTAAATTCTTTCAAGGAAGGAACATCACTCACCAACCACTTGTGCTCTAGCCCAGAATCTCATTTTCTCTGGATTATCTCCTGGAGTTGATTAAAATCAAAAGGCATTTAAATCCCCATCGAATACTGGTTGAAGTATGTGTACATGAGGCTGCCATGGCTCACCATTACCACACAGCCTGCTCTGGTTGTGGATTTTCCCCTTCTCTTACTCCAGAGTACATGTTGAAAAAAGAAATCGAGTGGCCTGAAGTCTCAGACTGTGCAGTTTAAAGTTCTGATGGATCTGTTGTTATCTGGTACAGTTCTTTTTCTTTGACATGATGCAAGCTTATTTAGCCAGAGAGAAGTATTGCGAGCGAAGTGGAAGCTGACTCAGTCCTACAGCTAGATATGACAAAACCAGAAGAGCCATTCTCAGTCAGGAGCTGGTAGATCAAATTCAGGCATGCCATAAATCACATTATAAAGGACACACAAGTGCTTCTTGTAGCTTGTGTGCTAGGGAGAGTGAGCTGGGTGGTAGCAGCAGCAGAATTTACCCTAGAGATCAAGACAGGATAAATTTAAGTGCAGAAACCTCCCAGTTAATTTTTTACTATAATCTTTCTTGCTACCTTGGGCTCCCAAGCTTGTTCTTCCATTTTTACACTGTCTGAGTGATCTGTTTTCAAACCCCCTCCTTCTTTCAGGTCACTTCTGAATTTAGCCCATTTTGCCAGGCTGCCAGGGTGTGATGCAGAGGAAGTTGGGCAGCCTCCTTAAAGGCTCACTCGCATTTCAGGGACACGTGCCATTGCTGTGCGTGCAGAACATGCCGTTGTGCTTGGGAAGTGGAAAATTGTGAGTGCACATAAAAATCACTGGTAGACTACTGCATCCCTTCTCAACTCCTCTACTCCAACATAACACTGCACACCTTCAGAGACCTACTAATTAAAGATGAGGTTGGAGATGGGAGGATAGCAAGAGGAAACCAACATTCAAGTAGTGTTTCAGCCTGAAGGTACTGCCTGTGAAAGTCTGAAGGCTGAGTCTCAGAAAAGCTGTGGGTCAGGCAGCAGCTATGCAAACTGCTCTGCGCAGGCCTTCTGATGTCTCTGACTTTGCCATGAGGCATCCCCTTCAAAGTCCAGGTAGGATCCACATTTATTCAATTTCTTCTTAGTTTACCTCATTATCAGGAGTGAAGGTTTGGTGATATGGACTCTTCCCTACATGAAACACACCATATAAAGGCTTCTGAACAGCTGTCAGGTAAGCAGGATGTGGCTTTGCACCTTCGCCCTGAATCAATCCAGCAACTTGCTTTGCATTTAAATGTTACCTGCCTTGGGAAATGCAGTCCTTCAAATAGCATCCTCTTGTGCATGTGTGCCCACGATGCACACAAAGTGAAAACTAACTCAGAAGATGACCCAGTCTCTGGTAGCAATCACATACCCCCTATCTCCAAGCAGAGGGGCAGAACACAGTTCACACTGTGAACATGTCTAAAGATACAGGTACAAAAGCAACAGCTTCTAGAGCCCTGAGCCATGCTGTTGGTGGATTATGGTTTCAATCCCATACATTGCAGA